ACCAACAAGCTGTGTAATGTGGGTATATGAGACTTCCAGCAGTGGTAAGTGCTTGAAGATTAAGTGAAGCATATTAGATATGAGTCTAGACTGGTAGATTGCTCATAGAAACAAAAATAGCTGGAGAAACTCAGCAGGTCCAGTAGCATCTGTGGAGAGAAAGCAGAGGCAATGTTTAGGATCTTTGTTTGTTGCTTTGGTATATTGCTTGTTGGTCAGTGAAGAAACTGTATTGATGGAGCCCAGAGAAAGAGAATAACAGTTGGACAGACAAAAGAATGAGTGAAGGTCAGCCTGGGAGAATGAATTGCTGGGGACTGTTTGTCGGAGCAGTCTATGTGAACACAAGGCCTGGTGTGTCAGGGTTGGGGTAAGGACATGGGAGAAGGTGCTGAGGCCCTAAAATTATTGAACTCTATATTGATTCCAAATGGTTGCAGAGTTTCCAAGTGGAAAATGAGGTGTTGTTCTTCCAGGTTGTGCTGAACTTTGCTGGAATACTTTAATTCAGATTGTTGTCAGGATCTAAACATGCTACTCACAGCTGGTGGGAGATTATTTCATAAATATTTTTAAAAGCGAGTTGGACAGGTACTTGAGCATGTTGAGCTTACAATATATTTGTATAAGCCGAAATCTCCTAAAGTCCCTGAATTCCTGACAGTTCTACAACTTTAATTCATTGAAACTATGTTCTGCTATTGAGGCAATTAGCCTGACAAATCTTTTAAAGATAGCAGATAGATATAGACTTTGCAGGCCCAAGCAGAGAGCCCGTGTGTCTGAAACCTGGGCAGTGCCACTGAGGGAACCAGGTGGTGCTCATCAGCTTAGAGAAGATGACGAGAAAGATCTCAATAGGAAGGAGGGAGATGAGCTTCACGTGGAGATCTGCTCCCTCTCCTCACCTGATACAGGGTAGTCAGCTCCAGAATGGGTTTGTGGCCTTAGCATGTGGCTGGGAGGTCACTGCCAGCGGACAGCAGCCAGCCCTGAGAAACCACCCAAATAGGCATCTTGATTATTTAGATTAGCTGCCTGCCTGCCTGCCTGCATTTATGGGGCGGGCAATCTGTCTAAAACCCCAGTGCTGGGAAACCTCTCCAGTGGTGCAAATACATTGGTGGGTTTTTACCAAAATATCTCTGTGCTATGCTAATTGATCCTGTGTCTCCCAACTTGCAATGTGGGCCTTGTTTTGTTGCCTATCTCAGCCAGTATGTCAGTATACCTTTAAGAGATATGCTCATTTTCTTACGGTATTACGCTATATCACCCAAAGGATTTTTCAATGTCATGTCACCCATACCTAGTTCTTAAGTTACAGGAGATAAAGAAAAGCATTGCCATCTTAGGTGCAAACAGGCTGTTGGAGGCAAACCACACATCAAACTTTAGAAAATGATACCCTTGCTTTCTGATCCGCTGTGATCTCCAGCATTTGTTGTTTTTAGTACAGATTCCAGCATCTGCAGTAATTTGACCCTGCATGCTTACGCCTGTTCAGATGGATCTGCAGCTATACATGTTATACACAAGAGGGCAGCATTATATAACCGATCAACCGAAGAAGGCCAACGGAATTGTTGGTTCAAATCTTCTGATAGGAGAAGAAGTGAAAGATTTCAGCTGCAGATGTATTTCGAGAAGCACAGGAAGCTTAAGCTTCTGATAGTTGGTTTAACCCTGCTTCGACTGTTCTGTTACTCCCTATGACAGTGGGATGAGACGCAAAGCCTGCTAGGAGAACAGTCAAAGTAAATTAGCTGCACTGTTAAAATACTCAAACACCGTTTTTTTAAATTCCTCTTTTTGTATCTAAGATTCGTACATCAGTACTTTGTACCTAAGATGGCGCCAAGAGAGGCAACATTGTAAACTTTTCACTGTACTCCTGTACTTGAGAACATGTGACAATAAAGGATATTCTATTCTACTCTAAATCCTGGTAATGTTCAACCTCCCACACACACAGATCTAGCAATGCAGGCAACCTTGGAGTGCTGTGGGTCAGAATTGTATTCAACCACAGTCTGTAATTTCTTGGCCAATATATACTCACTTTACCATTACCATCAAGATGGGGTATCAATTCTAGTTCAAAGAAGAGCATAGGAGGAAATGTTGGGCATACCTAAAATTGAGGTCTCAATCTAGTGTAGCTACAACACATGACTACACGTATGCCAAATATCTGAAGCAAGAATTAGTATACAAAGCTAAGTGATCACAAAACTAACGGATTAGATCTAACCTCTGTACTTCTGGCACATCCAGTCATGAATGGTGACGGATAATAAATAACAGGAGGAGGCGGCTCACAAAAATCCCTCTTCATAACGATGGAGAAACTGAACAGACCAATGCAAATGATAAAGCTAAAGCATTTGTAACCACCTGCTGCCGGGAGTTCATCTCAGCTTCTTCTTGAGGTCCTCTGCATTGCAGATGCCAGTTTTCAACTAGATTCATAGAATCCCTACAGTGTGAAAACAGGCCCTTCAGCCCAATAAGTCCACACCAACCCTTACAGCATCCCACCCAGACCCATCCCCCTAATCCACACATCCCTGAACACTACAGGCAATTTAGCACGGCCAATCCACCTAGCTTGCACATCTTTGGACTGTGGGAGGAAACTGGAGCACCTGGAGGAAACCGTCACAGACACAGGGAGAATGTGCAAACTCCACACAGACAGTCGTCCGAGGGTGGAATCGAACCCAGGTCCCTGGTGCTGTGAGGTAGCAGTGCTAACCACTGTGCCACTGTGCCACCCAACTAATTTGATTCACTCCGTGTATTATCAAGAAATGGCTGAAAACACTGGATATCTCAAATACTCTGAAAACTTTCCAGCAATAGCACTGTTGACATGTTCTCCAGAACTAGCTGCATCTTTATCAAGCTGTTCCAGAACAGCTACAGCACTGGTATCTACCTGACAATGTCCTCATATTCCAGTCCACAAATGGCAGAACAAATCCAAGCCATTCAATTATGCCCACTGTCCGTTCTTAACTATCAGCAATACATTGAAGAGGCGCTGCTCAGAAATAACCTGCTCAGTTTGACTTCGACCTGGGCCACTCAGCTCCTGACGACATTGTAGCTTTGAACTAAATGTAGACTAAAGGGCTGAACTCCAGAAGTGAGGTGATAGTGATTGCCCTTGACATGCCCTTGACCCTTTTACTTAGTGTGGAATCAAGAAGTCCAAGCAAAACTGAGGTCATTATGAATTACGTAACAAGCTCCGCTCTTGGTTGGATTCTTAACTACTGTAAAAAAGGTAAATGTAGATAAACCATCTCAATCCCAATAGCATTGCTGAAGGAAGTCAGGTAATGTCCTACATTCAACAATTATAAACAAGAGACAATATGACCATTTATATCCAGTGGACTGGAGTATAAGGATGTAGAAGTTATACTGTAGCTATACAAAATCCTGAATAGATCCCACTTGGAGTATTGTGAGCAGATCTGAGCACCATGCCTCAGGAAGGATATATTAAGCTTGGAGGGAGTGCAATGTAGGTTTACAAATACGGTATATGGACTTCAGCGATTAAGCTATGAGGAGAGATTATACAATTTAGCCCTGTTTTCTCCAGAATTTAGAAGGTTAAGAGGTGACCTAATTGAACTTTTCAAGATACTAACAGAAAAAAGGCAAGATAGATTCTAGAACGAGGGGGCATAGTCTAATAATTAAGGCCAGACCATTCAGGAGAGATGTTAGGAAGCACTTCTACACACAAAGGGTGGTAATGGTTTGGAACTCTCTTCCACAAATGGCAGTTGATGCCAGCTCAGCTGTTAACTTTAAATCTGAGAGAGACAATTTTTTTCTAACCAGAGATATTAAAGGATATGGGTCAAAGGCAATTAAGAGTTAGGCCACTGATCAGCCATGATCTCATTGAATGGCAAAACAGGCTGAAGAGCCTACTCCTGTTCCTATTTTCCTATCTCCCCTTGACAGACAATGACATTCCCATTGCTGAATCTCCCTCAACAATGTTCTGCGGGTTACAATTGATCAGAAATTGGACTGGATTGGACTGGATACATAAACAGTGTGAAATGCAGATAATTAGCAAGTAATTAGAAAAGCTAATAGAATGTTCTCATTTATTGCAAGGGGAATTGAATACAAAATAGAGAGATTATTCTTCAGCTATACAAAGCACCGGTAAGACCAAATATGGAATACTGACCACAGTACTGATTTCCTTATTTAAGGAAGAATGTAAATGCATTGGAAACAGTTCAGAGAATGTTTATCAGACTACCATCTGAAATGACAGGGCTTTTTTCATAAGGAAAGTTTGGACAAGCTGGGTTTGTGTCCGCTGGAGTTTATACTAGTAAGAGATGACTTGTTCGAAACATAACATCTTGAGGGGGCTTGACAGGTGAATGCGGAGATGATGCTTTCTCCTGTGGGAGCATATAGATCACTGTTTTAAAAATAAGGGGTCGCCCACTTAAGACAGAGATAAGATGAAGTTTTCCTCCAAGCAAGTTTTAAGTCTTTGGAACTCTCTTGTTCCTAAGTTTATGTTCACATGTTCAAGATGGTTCCCCATCAAGCGAAATTAGTGATGGACAACATTATTGGCTTAGCTCATGACACCATGTCCTGTGAAAGAATTTATAAAAGGTAAACTGGTAGGGAAGGGAGGAAGCAACTTTGACTGAAAAAATACCTATGATACCGCAATTTATATTCATCTCAATTTCAGCAGAATTAAACTGAACTTGCTCATAATAGGTGCTTAAGATTATATCTATCATCTAAACTGTTTAAAGCTATTGGTAAAATGCAGGGAGGAACTTAGAACATATTCCATGCAGCATGCTGTGAATTGGCTTTGTTATTTGTATAAAATCTGTAACAATATCAGAATGCATTTCCATTTTTAGATGCAAACCTTTTGGCAAACTCTTCAGTTTTACAAATAAAACCTGGTGGTTAGTTTTTGAAGGGTGTACCTTCCGCAGTGGTTTGAGTTTTGTCTCCATTATGAAGTCATATTTACAGAGTTCGCAGCAGCGCGTGTCAGAACTCTTGATCCACTGGTGGAGACAGGCTTGGTGTACGAAACGTAATGTTCCTGTACAATGGCAAGGTGTGATGAGTGCACAATCATCATCTCCTTCGCAGTGGCAGATCCTGAATAGAGAAAGAAAAGCCACATATGAGAACCGAGTGTCTGATGATCCAATTGTGCCCCTTTATCCTCGGTGCTTGCCCTTAGGACCATTCGCTTTCATATGGGTAAAGATCACAATTAAAATTATATCTGCAATTGTACAATGTTTGTTGCAGCAAGTATGCAATATTTACTTGATCTACAGAATTGTGAATATCCAGTGAAATCAGAGGAATTACCACTGAGCCGATTCCATAACTTCATCTGGCTTTTAATCAGATGGTACATCAAAAATGCCACACACACACACACACACACACACACACACACACACACACACACACACACACACACACA